CACTGTCAATGCATTGTGCCACTGTCACTGTTATTGTCACTGTCATTGTCATTGTCACTGTCACTGTCATTGTCATTGTCATTGTTATTGACACTGTCATTGTCATTGTCCCACCCGCAGATGTATCAGCCACAAGCGTGTGTGTGACGGCACTGCCGACTGTCTCGACTGGTCTGATGAGGCCAACTGTCTGGAGTTTGAATGCTTGGCGGGCACCACCCACTGCGTAGGTGGCCACTTGGAGTGCATCCCAGAATCCTACAGGTGGGTCCCTCGTCCTGCCTTACATTTCATCATCATCATCATCATCATCATCATCATCATCATCATCATCATCATCATCAATATCATCATCATCATCATCATCATCATCATTGTTTGATAAGCAGAGTAGGAGGGAGAGTCTTGATTGAATTTTCGACAAAATAACATAGCAATATAAAATGTTTAAATTTGTTTAATAGCTCAACGTTTCGCCTTGTGGGCTTCCTCAGGAGCAACTGAGAGAAAAACTAAATGAGCGCTGTATACTAGCAGGGAAATCATCATCATCATGTTGTAAAATAGAAAAAAAATATATTTGAGACCTGAATAGGGATGGTCACATTTAATCAGATGTTCGTATAGACCTTGCCAAAAACAAAAAATACATACATTATTATATTCTATACTTTTATCCAGAACACACTGTAAGTTATCGCTTACATGTTGCAATAATTTGTAAACCACACAAAGCCTCTATTCTTTAATCAGAGTTGGAAAAAAAACAGATAAACGTCATATTTATTTATGTATATTATATTATGCTTCTTTTATAGCACGTGTATATCATAAGGTTATGTTATAAATAGCTATATAAAATGCATATACCTTCGATTCATCTCTCAGATGTGACGGCGAATTCGACTGCCACGACAAATCGGACGAAGCCAACTGCCCACAAGACCACACATCTTGCTTCTCTTTCCAGGTGGGTGTAGTCAGTCAGGTCCAGGGCCAGAGGTAGAGCTGGGCAATGAGTCGCGTTACGAATTCCGAATAATATGTTAGTGCACCTCTTCGGCAAATGATATGATATGAACCGCTTCGCAAAATGGATTAGAACCACTTCGACAAACGGGTTAGCATCACTTTAACAAACGGGTGCATCCACTTTGGCAAGCGGGTTAGGAGAGGTAGTTAAGAATCTGAATTCGGACAATGTTTCATTGATAATTATCCGGTTATCCGGATAGATTATCCGGATTTTGCCCACCTCTAGCCAGAGGACGAGTTTTCTGGTGAAATGCTGAAAAGGTGAAATGACGAACATGGAAAAATATGTGAAATGGGGAAAATGGTGAAAATTGTGAAATTGTGAAAATGGTGAAAATGGTGAATAGATTGAAATGGTGAAATGGTGAACATCGAGGAAATGGTGACATGGTAGAAATGATGAAATGGGGGAAATGGTAAAAAGGGTGAAATGTATAGGTTTGACGTCTCTTTCAACACTATTAGCTTATGTAAGAGGCGGGACCTCCGAGTTTAACGTAAACAATCGAGCAATACCGTGAGCCAACTGAAATGACGGGCCGTAGATAGGGGGTTAATGGGACGGAACAAAGGGTTGTATAATACGTCAGTGACACGACGTTGACGTCACGGCTGGGGGTGTGCCCTTGAGCAAGAGAACACGTTAACCCTATGTACAAAATAAAGAAGAAAAGAAAAAAAAAAGTCGTGGCTTCTTTTTAAAATCTTTTTATTATTATTATTTTATTTTATTTATTTATTATTATTTTTTTTTAAATTTAATTTCATTTAGTTTATTTATTTACTTTTTTGGGGGGGAGGGGGGGTGCTCTCCACAGTGGCGATCACAGCGGCGAGTTTGTATGTAGCACAAAAATAGTGTATGTCGTGTGTAAGTTTCCGTATGTAAGTTATGTATCTTTGTGCCATATTTATATTATGTCTGTATAAATAATACTTTTATGTGTTATGTCATTGCAAACTAAATTTTCATTCGGGGATAAATAAAAGAGGAATTTATTTATGTATGTTTTATTACTACTACTACTACTACTACTACTACTACTACTACTACTACTACTACTACTACTACTACTACTACTACTACTACTACTACTACTACTACTAATAATAATAATAATAATAATAATAATAATAATAATAATGATAATAATGATTACAACAACAGGAATAATAATAATAATAATAATAATAATAATAATAATAATAATAACAACAACAATAATAATAATAATAATAATAATAATAATAATAATAATAATAATAATAATAATAATAACAACAATAATAATAATAATAATAATAATAATAATAATAATAATAATAATAATAATAATAATAATAATAATAATAATAATATATTATATTTATGAAAGTCCTCATTTTGGCCACCAAAAACATCCGAAACACTTAACTTTCCAATTTGGACAAAATTAATGGTGGTTCTGAATCATTTAAAGGGTGCACAGTTTTATTGAGGAGCCTGAAGTCGTTGTATTTTAATTTTCAGTTTTTCATTAGTTTCGTTTAGATCTATTCTAGGGAAAGTCCGTCTTCTAAAACATCATTGTAAGCAAGTGTGGTTTCCGTTCACTAGCCGTGCGCACTGGTTCCGCACCTTTGAGATTCTGGAGTGTACAACCTCGAAAGCAGAATAGAGAATCAATCTATGCATCTAATATCTATTTGTGGTGGCCCGATTTTGCTTTTCAAATGGCTTTTTAATGGCTGCATCGATCGACATGCGGTTTTCGCCAAAAGATTTAAAAAAATATTCTCCAGATCATGACGCCCTTCTTTTTATCTGTTTCGAGACAGTTTTGCCGTTAAAAACTAAATTTCTCTATTACGCCGATCGCTTTTGTTGGTCGACACTCCTGTCTCTGTAATTTTAGAAAGGGATGTTTCCGTTCACTAACTGTGCGCACTGTTTTGAGAGTATAGATCTAAACCTTCTAATTTTTGTATCTCTCAAGATTTGCTCCCTTCCGGTAGAATGTAAATATCATACGCCAATGACTTTCGGCTGACGTTAATGCACCGATCCTTCCTTTCATCGAAAGGAGGCCCAGCTAGTCTATTATATATTCATTGGCAACTTGGAAACACATGTGTCACGCTTCCCCTTACAACTACGACAGCTGCAGAGTTGAAAGTTGGCAAGTACCTGCAAAAGGATAGATAGGTCCCCATGAAGAAGCCCAATTTTTTATTTATTCATTTCCTGAATTTAGAAAAAAACAAAAAAAAACGTTACCGTCCTTTTTTGGCTTTTGTGATTATTCCATTGAGAAACGAAACCAATTTGCGTATCTGTCCTTCACAACGGTAGTGCGAAAGTGATATTTCGCGAGGCGCATTTTGTTTTGAGAGTATCGATCTAGACCTTCTAATTTTTGGCACCTTTCAAGATGTATTGCTCTATTCCAGTAGAGTTTAAATATAGTAGGCCAATGACTTCCAGTTGATGTTAATGCACCGATCCTTCCTTTCATGAAAAGGGGGCCCAGCTGGTAATAATAATAATAATAATAATAATAATAATAAGCAGCTTTTGTATAGCGCATAAACGCGCTTGGCTGCAAGCTCTATGCGCATGATGCCATATTATTACCCCAGCAGACCATGGAACTCACAGAAACATTCTCAGCTTCCCGGGAAGTATACAATTGAAAAGTGTACTTGTGTATGTATGTATGTATTTATGTATTTATTTATTTATTTAACCCTTTATTTATTTATTTATCGATTTATTGATTAATTGATTAATTGATTTATTTCTTATCCGTTTATTCGTGTATTTATTTATATTTCTTTTACCAACAGTTCCACTGCACATCCGGAAGCCGCGGCTGCGTCCCTCAATCCTACAAGTGTGATGGAGACAAAGATTGCACGGACGGAAGTGACGAAGCCGGATGTTCATGCGCCAGCAACCAATTCCAGTGTGCCAATGGTGGCTGTGTACCGTCCTCTTGGAAGTAAGGACACACACCGCGCGCGCGCGCGCACGCACACACACACACACACACACACACACACACACAC